TCAGTTTTTTAAAATATTTTATTTATTTTTATTTTATGTGTATGAGTGTATTGCCTGCATATATGTGAGTGCACCCATGTTGTGCAATGCCACAGAGGTCAGAAGAGGGCTTTGGATTCCCCTGGAACTGGAGTTAAAGATGGTTTGCAGCCACGATGTGGGTGCTGGGAATTGAATCCGAGTCTTCTGCAAGAGCAGTCAGTACTCTTAACCGCTAAGCCATCTCTCCAGCCCCTATATCAGTTATTTTAACAAAAATCTTATTCTGAAGTTTACGTCAGGTAGTCTATAAACTTGTAAAAAAATGCATTTCTGTTGCAGGCAAGTATTTAATTTTTCCCAAAACTAGAAGTAAAATATCAACATGTAGAGAAATAATGATTTCTCAAAAATAGGAAAATGTTTTAGAATTGTATTTTAAGTACATGAGTAATCTGGAAGAACATTATTCTTCCTATTTTATACACGGTCATTTTAGCACATAAAAGGCTTGAGCTTTATTTTGTATAGTACATACAGAAAAACATAAGCATCTTAACTCAGTAGAGATGTGATTAAAAACAGTACAAGATAAGCCAGGTACAGTGTTACATGCCTGTATTCCAGCTGCTCAAGAGCCTAAGGTGGGAGTGCTTGGGTCTGGGGGTATAGCTCAGTGGCAGAGTACTGCCTAGTAGGCCCAAGTCCCTAGGTTCTATCCCTAGCTCTAAAACAAAAGATAAAAGATGACTTTCACAGTGTATTTAAATTTCCAGGAGCTATAAATGTGAATAATTTCTAAATTACTAAACAGCAGGGTAATCCCAGTCAGATAAAATATTTCCATGAAAATTTTGTTTTCTTTAAAATAAGAAAAACTTAAAAAGCAAAGCACCCAAACCAGCCAAGGCAGAAACAGCCAATTTCTGAATTAAAACAGTGCTTTTAAAACAAAACTCTTTTTATTGTGTATCACTAAAACTGAAAGAATAGAAAAAAAATTACAGTTGATATAGAACTACTGGGCCATCTATACAGACACCTGAGAATAAATTCTTCTCTACATTTACCATCGTTTGCAGTCACTTGCTTCTGCTTTGTCATTCACTGACATTTCAACCCTGTTGGTTACTGTATCTTCAGATGCTGACTGGACATGGCCATCTGATTGTCCTCCAGTGTAAGTGGGAGTGCTGTACTTTAAAAGGATAGATTTAAACTGCATCAGAGGTGCATCTGTACGAATACCCATTGGATCAAAATGAGTTCTGCTTACTCGAAAGCCTGCTTCAGAAAGACAGCATAAAAACTTTTTTAACCTGCAATAAGGAAAATAAAAGTTATTAGGTCCTTATGTTTTTGTTTAACTCTCAATGTTATTAAAATAAAACATATACTTTGCCACTCACTGGCTGTCTTACTTTGGCATATTCATTCCTTTAATGCTGTGTCTGTGAATATTATAATAAAAGGGAGGATGTTCAGTATTGACACCAATCTTCTGCTTCTTGGCTAAACTGGTGATCATTTCATTACCTTTTCTCTTTCCTGAAACACATACAAACAAAGTAACCATTCTCTTAAAAATTGCACACCAGGGCCTGGTTAGATGGTTCAGCAATTAGGAATACTAGCTGCTCTTTCAGAGAACCAGGGTTTGGTTCCTAGCACCTGTGGTTCATGACTGCCTATAACTCCAGCTCCAGGAGACCTTGGTGGGTACCCACACACATGCACGAATATACACGTATGGACACACACATTAATAAAAATAAAACCAAGCTCAGGTGGTGGTGCACACCTTTAATCCCAGAACTCGGAAGGCAGAGGCAAGAAAATCTAAGTTTGATGCCAGCATGGTCTACATAGCAAGTTATAGGCTAGCCAGGGCTATACAGTTGGACCATCTTCAAAAAAATAAAAGGCAAACCAAATGCTTTTATAATCTTATCTAAATTCTTTGACATACTATTTCAGTCTACCTATCCAATGTTAATTATTACAGTGAGATAATTACAGAATTTTCATTGTCCTTCACTCATGTAACTTTTTTAAATGTTGGCTGAGTCAGAGCTTCCTTTCTACCTCCTTTAAGCCTCATTTCAGGTTCCAGTTCTTGTTTGAAGCCCATTTGTGAACCATTAGTCAATCACTTTACAGTTCCTTATTGTCAACCCTGTACTACTCAGAACTTGGCTAGGTTTTGTCATTTTTTCCTCCTTTCATGTATGTAAGTTTTGTATATATGTAAATCCTTTCTCCATAAATTGCATCCTAAATTCTTAGGGACAATGACCTTCATTGTTTTACTGATTACTTATTACTGGATACATGGTAAATCTTTAATGAATGTGAAAAAAACCACCATGTATGAAAGTCTAAAAATAAAAGCGCTGGAGAGATGGCTCAGAGGTTAACACCACTGACTGCTCTTGCAGAGGACCTGGGTTTGATTTCCAGCACCCACATGGCAGCTACAAAGCGTCCTTAACTCCAGTTCCAGGGGAATCCGAAGCCCTCTTCTGACCTCCGTGGCACTGCACTACACAGTGCACTCACATACATGCAGGGAATACACTCATACACATAAAATAAAAATTTAATTAAAAGCAACAAATTGATTATATGAGTGTTCTGGGATTAGGTAAATTATAATAAATATAGACAACTGAATTAAAAATAAAACAAAAAAAACTTTCAAGCACTCTAGCAAAGAGACTGATAAAAGCACAATATATGATCTAATTGCTTTCTCAATATAATACATTTGGTGCAATGAAAATAGCAAATGATGTTCAAAGATAAATTATTGTTGAATTGTCTTTTTACATAAGAACAAAAATGACAATTTGGGATCACCAAATTAAAAATAGGTTAAGTAAAATTTGATTATGCTGTCACATGAAATCAACATGGCACACAGTGAAAGAATATATGCCCACATGAAGAACAAATTCTACAAAAGCCTGAGACCAAAAGACCCAACATAATATCTTAATAGTAATTATTAGAAGGAGCACATGGATTTTTTTTTGCTTATGTTATATTGACAGTTCAGTCTACCTATAAACAAAGGTTTATGGTTATAGCAGTGTCAACAGAGATTAGTCTAAATTCCTTTATTTATATGTAAGGAAAACTTTAAATATTTATGTTTTACCTTTTGTCAAAAAGATGTAAAACAATTCTGCTAATCTTGAGGCATCTGGCAAAGGTTGCACCATAAGACAATGAGGAAGAATAATGTCTTCATATCTTATGCTGCTTACAGTACATTGCAATGCTGCTTCTGTCAGTCTTCTACTTTACGTAGAATATCTTATTTTCTACGTGATAGAATTCTATCTAGAATTCTACATGATTCACATTCTATCAAATTAGCTGAAGATGCCAAATGAATATGATTGTAGAAATTTATTAAACCATATACTATTAACCAGATCTTAAAGTTTTCTTCTCGCTGAAGGTCAACATTGAACTGAGCAATGATCACAGTATTACAGCATATAATTACAGGCCACTGCTCTTAATAAATCTGTCTGTCTATCTTATATAGTCATTCTATCTATCTATCTATCTATCTATCTATCTATCTGTATATATATATATATTTTTAAACCTCTAAACACATTTAAAATGCAGATATTTAGTAGTTATATACCTATTTATACATACCTTGTACAATGTAAGGATCTATTGTGGTATCATCTGTAGTTTTAATAAATATACCATTTTCTTCTAAAATAAAAACAAATGGGAAAACAGTATTGATAGATGACATTAAGTAACAATTCAATGTTTAAATAAAACCATGGAATCCCATCCACATTGCTTTTGAATATAAAAGAGCCTATTCAAAATAGGATACAAGAATTACAAATTTTAACTTTCTAGGCTGGCAAAATGGCTGGGTATGTAAAGGTACTTGCCATGCAGACATGGAAAACCAAGTTCAATCTGTGGAACCCATGTAAAGGTGTTAGGATAGAACTGACTCTACAAAGTTTTCCTCTGATCTCCACATATACCTCACCCTCAAATCATACATACACAATAATAAAATGAGTTTTTTAATTACATGTTTTTAAATTTTATTTTATTATCATTGCTTTTTTGGTCTTTTTGAAACAGCGCCTTCTTGTAGCCCCAGCTGGTCTGGAACTCACTATGTAGATCAGGAGGCAGAGGCAGATGGAGCTCTGAGTTCAAGGCCAGCCTTTTTCTAAATAGTGAGTTCCAGGCCAGCTGGGGCTACAGAGAGATGCTGTGTCAAAAAGAAAAAAAAGAAAACAGCTTTACTAAATGTTAAATATATATCTATTTTCTGCATTTCAATGGATATTACCAAAATTTATGGCTACACTACTACAATTACCTAAAGTTTCTCTTTCTAGATAGTATATACAGGGGAACTGGGGAACGTAGCTCAGGTAGACTGCTTGCCTGACATGCATGTGGTCCTGGGGTTGATCCCCAGTATTGAATTAACTGGGCCTGAGGGCACAGGCCTGTAATGTCTGCTCTTAGAAGGTGGAAGTAGAAGAATCAGAAGTTCAAGGTCATCCTCTGCTACTCAAGAAGTTGGAAGCAACCAAGGTATAAGAGGCCTTGCTTCCAAAATTTAAAAAAAAAGGAGCTATAGAGAAGCCATGCACGGTAGCATGTGCCTGTAATCCCAGCAGCTGTGAGGTAGAAGCAGAAGGATCAGGAGTTCAAGTCTAGTCTGGGTTACATGCAATCCCACCTTAAAAAAAAAAAAAAATAGTAGTAACCAAATTATGATTTGATTCATTAGAGAGGATTTACTTAAAGGACAATATTACACTGTTTTACTTTTATTACAATATCAATGATAAAGATAACATCTAGCAAGTTAGAGTCACCTTGTTTGTTGAGATTTGAAGGTGTATGAACTGAACACTGACTTTGAGGAGTGCACTCTGATTCAAAGATTAATGTCTTTATTAGGGTCTGAATGTCATCCAAACCATGGTGAATAGATTCAAATAGCATTCTTTTGAGGAATCCAGTATTGAAAAGGGAACTTGACCTGAAAAGGAAAAGAATGTATAGAAAACTGTGTTTGAGAAATGCTTATTTTCTTAAAAGATAAATCTCTATAATTGGGTAAAGCAATATTGAAATTCAGGTTTTTTTTGTTTGTTTGTTTTGTTTTGGGTTTTTTTTTTTTTTTTTGGTATTTTTGAGACAGGGTCTCCCTGTAGCCCCAGCTGGCCTGGAATTTGCTATGTAGACCAGGCTAACTTTGAACACACAGAGATCTGTCTACCTCTGCCTCTCGAGTGCTGGGATTAAAGCATGCACAACCATGCCCAGTGGAATTCAGTAATTTTTTTTTTCTTTTTTGTCTTTTTGAGACAGGGTTTCCCTGTAGCCCCAGCTGGCCTGGAACTCACCGTGTAGACCAGGCTGGTCTTGAACTCACAGAGATCCACCTGCCTCTGTCTCCTAAGTGCTGGGACTAAAGGCATGTGCCACCATGCCTGGCTACGGAATTCAGTAATTTTTAACTTAATATTCTTTTTACATTAACTTCTCACCCTTTTATCATGTTACTTCTATAAATGAGTAAAATGAGCTAAAGAAAGTTCATTCACATAAAAACAAGAATTTACTGAGCTCTCATAAGTTGTACAGTACTATAATACATGGAGGCATAGATATAGTAAAATATAAAATACAATACTGTTAACTCTATAAAAACCTATAAATCCAGACAGAAACATAATGTAATGTATAGATTTTCACAGTACACACTCTACAGTCAGTAACAGTGAATCCTAATTTTGATGTATGTGGAGGGTAGTACTGTAGTTAAAAAGATGGCCCAGAGGTGAATCTAGTATGCTTTCTATTTAATTTGGGAAGCATAGGTATAATTGACAAAATAAGAAAATTTTAAGTCTGAAAAGCCTGGATTCCAATTTGCCTTCACCTACTAGCTATGTAATCTTGAGTAATAAGTATTGTTTTTTCCTTCCAATACTGGGGTTTGCACACAGGGCTTTATGCATCTAGGCAAGTATTTTACCACTGAAACTGTACCTCACAGAGATCCGCCTGCCTCTGCCTCCTGAGTACTGGGATTAAAAGGCACACACCACCATGTCTGACCTTTACCCTTTTTCACTAAATTGCCCAGGCTGGTCTTGATGTTACTGTGTACTTCAAAACTCACTTTATAGACCAGGCAGGCCTGGAACTTGCGATCCTATTCCCTCCTGAGTAGCTGAGATTATAGGCCTGCACCACCAGGCTCAACTTTACTTTAGAGTCTTACATTCCTCATCATGGTACTGTAAATAAAACTTCTCACAAACTTCTAGGAGTTAAATGAGATGGCATATATATCATGCTTTGTACCAAATATACCTTCAATGAATATAGTAACTACAAAGTAGAAAATATAGATAGTAAATATATATGAAAAGATGATTTTGAAGTACAAAATGAATGATTAATGTAAAATATATTAAAGGGAATTTAGAGATTATTTGGGTTAAACCAGTGAGGAGAGACTTGAAATGGGAAGCATAACCTGGATGGTTGAGGGAGAGGAAAGGGAATCTGAATGAGAGTACAGACACAAACACCAGCTCTGAGTGAGGAAGTCAAAGGCAAAATTCAGGCCTGGGAATCAGAAAACCTAAATTCTGGCCTTGACTTGCTAGTAATCTTTTTGGTCAGTTTTAACAAGCTTAAAAACACTCTGCCATAATTTCCTTATCTGTAAAATGAGGGAGCTGGGGCAGATCAGTTTTCTGGATGCAGCAACCTATTATTCTCAACTTCTATTCTGACATCAGTGAATAGAATCACTGTGTGGGAAATGATACAGGTAAGAGAATACTGGAGGGTAGTGCTGGCTCCATCATCAGCTGCTTGTATCAGTGTTTTAGGTATAGTAGATGCTAAGCCCTTGATCTTTATAAAATAATGAGCAGCTAATTTGCAATGACTCATGATATAAGGTTGCTACCAATCCTAAATTTTTTTTTTTTTTAATGTGTTATTTTGCTCTGCTTCCCTGGGCTGCACAGGCTTCCAGCCTCTTTCTGGATGCCCCGACTGACCTCTCGGCCCAGGGCCACCACTGCTTCCTGATCTCTTGCATCCAGACTGGCCCAGTTCCTTCTCGAGGTCCCTGAGAACCCTCTGGGCCTGGTCCCATCCTCACCTCCCTCTGCTTTCCTGGGCTGCACAGCCCACCAGCCTCTTTCCTGGATTCCTGGGCTGACCTCTCAGCTTCCTGATCCTATGCATCCAGACCAACCCAGTTCCTCAGTGCAGTCCCCAGGAGGCCTTGTGGCCTCTTCCCGCTCCCATTTCCCTTTGTGTCTCTGGGTGGCCACCAGCTGCCCCAGACCAGCATCTTTCCTGTGCCCTGCTCTTAGGCCAGTCCAACCCCCAAATTCCTGAGGCCAAAATCTTTCCTGGAGGGATCCAGACCTTAGGAGAAAGCCCGAGAGCATCTAATCCTCATCTGACTTGGGCCTCTGTGGGAACTCCTGAAGACAAAAGCAATCTGGCCACTCCAATATACAATCAAAAGAGAGAACCGGAAGCTTAGACGAACCAGCTTTTCATACCGGAAAAGTAAACCACAAAGACACATAAAGTTTACAAAAAGAAGCAGACCTAAACTTGAAGGCTTGAGTCTCACACAAGAATCAGAAACTACAAAAGAAATTCACATGTCAAAATCAGAGAAAAAATAACATGAAAAACCAAAATAACATATCCCCACAAAATACCAATAGTCCCCTACAGGAGTACAATGAGAACTCCCTAGAGATAATGCAGGACATGGAACTCAAAAGAACAATTATAAACATGATAAAAGAATTCAGTGAATTTAAAGAACACACAAAGAAATTGAAGAACTGAAGGAAAATAGGGAGAAATTTCTGAATGAATTCAGAAAGAGCTAGAAATATTGAAGAATACTCAGGTGAAATGAAGGAAGTGAAACACTCAGTAAGCCAATTACAAATGACAGGAGAAAGCCTCACCAATAGGATGAATGAAATGAAAAACAAGAGTATCAAAACTGGAAGATAAAGTGGACAAACTAGACCACTCAAGCAAAGAGTATGAAAAATTTAAGAAATCATAAGATTGGAATATACAGGAATTGTGTGACACCATAAAAAGACCAAACTTATGAATCGTAGGCTTACAGGAAGGAGAAGAATCCCAAGATAATGGCATAGACCAGAATCATAGAAGAAAATTTCCCAAAATTAAAGACATACACATACAAATACAAGAAGCATATAGAACACCAAACAGGACCAGAAAAGAAACTCTCCACAGCACATCATAGTAAAAACACTAAGCATACAAAACAAAGAGACAATACCGAAAGCTGCAAAAGTAAAACAAGTTACATATAAAGGAAAACAAATTAGGATTACAGCTGACTTTTCAGTGCAAACTACGAAAGCCAGAAGAGCCTGGACCAAAGTATTCCCAGTTTGAAATGACCACAGATGCCAACCCAGATTGCTATACCCAGCCAAAATGTCTATTATAGTCAAAGGGGAAAGAAAAGTCTTCCATGACATAAATAGGCTGAAGGAATTCTTGTCCACAAAACCAGCCCTTCAGAGAGTTCTGGAAGCAATACAAAGAGCTGAAGAAAGGAATGACTATTCCCAAAGGGTTGCAGAAAGAAATTCAATGAAGGTATAACAGTGGAAAAGTACAGCTATATCAAGAATATAATAACAGAAATAAAAATGACAGGATTCAATACACATCTTTGATTAATAACTTTCAATATTAATGGAATGAACTCCCCAGTCAAAAGACACAGACTATGTGAATAGATTAAGAAACAAAAACCTATCTTTTTGTTGTCTGCAAGAAACTCATCTCACTTTCAAGGGCAGGCACTATCTTAAGGTGAAAGGATGGAAAAAAATATACCAAGTGAATGGTACTAAGAAAAAAGCCAAGCGTAGCAATTCTAATATCTGACAAAATAGACTTTAAAACTAACCAGAAGAGATAAAGGGGGCCATTTCATTCAGATCAAAGGAACAATAAACCAAGAAGATATTACAATCATGAACATATATTCACCAAACTCTGGTGCACCCAACTTCATAAAAACAATACTACAGGGCTTTAAGACCCAGATTAATCCCAATTTATTAACAATAGGAATTTCAATACGCCACTGTCTCCATTAGATAGTTCAACAGGGCAGAGAGTTAACAGACATCTGAATTAAAAAATACCATACATCAAATGGACTGAACAGACATCTACCGAGTATTCCACCCAAACACCAAAGGACATACTTTCTACTCAGCACCCCATGGAACCGTCTCCAAAATCAACCATATACTGGGGCTTGAAATAATTCCATGTGTTCTATCAGACCACAGTGCAATAAAGCTTACAATCAACACCCGAAGAAGCCAAAATCACCACACGAACACATGGAGATTAAACAACACACTCCTGAATGATGAATGGGTCAAAAGAGAAATTAAGAAAGAAATAAAAGTATTCCTGTAATTAAATGAAAAGGACAATACAACACAACAAAACCTCTGGGACACGCTGAAAGCGGTTCAAAAATTGGAAAGAACAAAAATAAATGACTTAACATTGCAACTCAACACACCTGAAAAGCAAGAACAAAATGAAACCCAAACCCAGCAGACAAGAAGAAAACAAAAATCAGGGCAGAAATTAATGAAATCAAAACAAGGAAAACAATACAAAGAATCAATGAATCCAAGAGCTGGTTCTTTGAAAAGATAAACACGATAGACCGCTAGCCCAGTTAACCAAAAGAAAAAAAAGAGCACCTCCATATCAACAAAATCAGAAATGAAAGGGGAAACATCACAACAGACACCAGAAAGATACAGAACATTATAAGGGAATACTTTAAAAACCTATATGCTACTAAATTTGAAAACCTAAAAGAAATGGACGGATAGCTACAGGCATGGGAACCACCAAAACTAAACCAAGAAGAGATTAACAGCTTAAACAGACAAAAACACAAAA